CCAGACCATTCAAGGCCAGGGTATAGGTAAGCTATGTTTGAAAGATATCTTTATCTAGCCAATCAAAATAGGGCTAGTTTATGTATGTTAGCAACAGCTTGCGTGGGGAGGAGGTTACGTTTCATTAATACATGCATTTGAGGTAGCTGAGTCAATTAATTACTTCATTTATGCCCGTATTGCCCAGAAAAAATTACTTACAATTTGTGTTAACTTGTAAAGAATTTGTGTATAAATATGTCCAATATAGTTGAATCATTTGAGTCTTTTCCTGAAAATATTCAGATCTAAACAAACTCTACAACTCCTTGCTTCTATATAACTATATACGTAGCAAGAAAACATCTAGATGTATATGTGAAAAAAAAAATTAAAAAGATTTATGATTTCATCAATTCGTACAATTAACTAAGGTAACAAGAGCACAACCACATTAAAAAGACACACAAAATGTACAGGTAGTGACACATTTTCTATATATAGACAGAATACAAAGGTACCTTATATCACTAACATCTAATGATCCAACACTGACATGAGGTATATATGTAAAAATTGAAATATCATTAAAACCCGTTCTTTCTAAAGACCACAAGTGACGTCTTTACCATATAAGGAAGTTTATATGTCAATATGTTGAAATGAAATACAGCCACCTACAATAATAGTGGCTTATTCTATAATTAGCATTATATCACCGTGACAACAACATAGCAACATATCCACAATGAATTTATATATAGGCATATAAGTCTTATGAAGTGAAAAAAAAGGGATAATTCTATTCTGTAAGACAAATTGTTAAATTGATACAACTAGAAGACATTTGAAATGATATATATATATTTATATATGTAGTGTATATATATATATTATTTCAATAGGGTGATACAAAGTCAGATATTAACAAAAACATCAGATCAATCTAACAATTGATTACAAAAGTAAACCTCTAAACAAAACATATACAAGGAATATTTATAATTCAAGAGGTTTACACTCCTAGGTTGACCTGAGATATATACGAAGTATCAACTAGCTCTTTCAAACCTACTCCTAAAATTTTGTAATTCTGACATAAATCATCTTCAAATTGAATATTTCTCTCAACATTTTTTTTTTGTATTTTAGTCAACATATTTCAACAGGAAAAAACCTAAATTCTGTTTCTTTCTATACATAAGCATTAGCTACCATAAAACTCTCATAACAGGTGTGTACATATAAGAGAGTAAGGGGGACAACTCTACCTGAGGGAGTGCACTATATATAGAATAGGGAAAAACCTTGTAAACTGCTGTAGTCAGGACTCGGAGACACATACATAATAACACAAATAACATGAGTGCCCTGAGGTTGGTAAAATCTCGGAAATATTTCTGTCCTGAAATTGGGGCTTCTCCCATTGGCTACTACTAAATTGGCACTGCTGAACCAGATTCAAAGTTTTCTTTTTTCACTTAAAGAACCTTTTAAAAGTTGAAACCATTCCATGAATGCATGATCAATTTTTCAAAATTTTTGTTAAAATTTTTTTTAACCATCTTCAAATATCTGATAATATCTTAATTTACAGATATATGATCAATCATTTGTCAAGAAAACAACTGGCCAACTTATGTAGTAGGCAGAGGGTCTGCCAATGTAAATATGATTTGAACGTCTTACTCTTGTAGATCTTTATAATTCTTGTCCAATTCAAATGAAAAATAGGTATAACACATTTGATTGATTACAACTTTAGAGCAAACTATGAATGTGATTGAATCGCTTAAGTGTGTCACACTTCATGATAACTGAACTTTCAATATTTGCAACAAAGGGCAAAGTACAACAGCTATTTGGGTCCATCAATAATTATTTAACAAAAATAAGAACATTTTTATTGACCAGTAAGAGCAATTACGATTGATCACAAACAGCAACTTTCCACATCCAAAAATGAAAACATGAACATTTTCATTGAAATATAAACTTAATTTGTCTGAACAGAAATAGCTATGTTCACTGATCAGATTTAGAATTTTTTATTGACAGAAAATGTCAATTTTCTTTAACTAATACATGGCATTTTTTATTTACCAAATTTAGCTACTTTTCTGACCAAGCTGATACTTTTCTTTACTGATTAAAAAAAAAAGAGTAATTTTATCAGTGACACCTTGAAAACTTGTACACAGCTCTTGTTTCAGAATTTATGCATAAAAACAAATAAAGTTATGACTGGTGATTGATATTAGTTTTTCCGTCTTTCCTTCCTGCAGTGTATCTCTGTACAAAAATAGTCTGATTTAACAAGTAGGTCAGCGATGTATGTACACTCTGCTATAATGTATCTCTATATACTACAATAACCAATAACAAACAATACAAATGTAATTCAAATATCGTCAAGAGAAAAAAAAATCATCATCATAATCGTAATCATCATTATCGTAATCATCATCATCATCGTAATCATCATTATCGTAATCATCATCATCATCGTAATCATCATTATCGTAATCATCATCATCATCCTCATCATTATAACTAGACAAGCATTTGATACAATTCTTTAACCTGAATTGATTGTGAGATATGAAAAATGGAGAGAAAAAAAACATTATGAATGAGGTAAAAAGTGAGCGAGCACAATAACAGATTATGTATATTAATCAATAGTTCCACACAACATACATATATATATGTATATATATATATATATACACAGTGAGGTATATGTACATCATAAGGTCCCGGGACTGTAGCTGACACCACCTGATGGTGGGTATTCATTTTAAAGTGGTGTCACCTAATTATGAGTGTTAATGGCACCACATTGTGGTGGGTGTTACTGGCACCACCTGGTAATTAGTGTAATTACTGCCACCTGGTGGTGAATGGTATTGGAGGTAGATGTTACTGATAGTAGTGAGTGTTACTGGTGCCACCAATTGGTCAGCAATAATGGTGCCATCTGGTGGCGTCTGATACTAGTGCCACCTGGTGGCAAGTGATACTGGTGCCATCTGGTGGCGAGTGATACTAGTGCCACCTGGTGGTTGAGCATATTATGTCCTATGTGGTTGGCATCTTATGGTAAACATTTGAAACTTAACTTGAAGCTACTCAAATGTCAGTGTGTGGTTCTAACATCACATGGTGGTGATTTATTCTGTTGATGCGAAAAACATATTCCGGACATTAAAAAAATAATTCAAATAATAATAAAAGCTCTGATTATCAGATATCCAAACCTCTGTTTGACTATGAATAGAAAGAGGAAACACCTGCATTTACCAAAACTTATTTCTGGTTCAGGAAACAAATCCGAACAAGGTGGCACCAGCATGTTTGTATCAGTAAAGGAATCTGTGTTCAAATGGACCCAAAAATGTGTTTCTTGGAGAAAAAAAAACCAAAAAAGGTCTAATCGAAGAAATTTCCGAAACTGACTTGGCAAAATGATATTGTCATGTTTTCCCCTTATATCATATCATTAAAATCATATTTTTTTCCAGTGAAATAAAAAATATAGGTCAAAGGTCTTATTGGAAAGGTGAGGTAGTTCAGTGTTTGGTTACAGATAAAGTTTGTTAAAAGTAATAAATAACTTAACTACTTGCAGGTTAGTACATGTATATATCATATGGAATTACCAATCTAATACATTAATAATAATATCTTATATGAGATTGTTATGATCAATTCCTGTATATTGTCTGAAAATTGTTTGAATATCGATGCTTGTAATGGATTAAAATCCCTGAGTTATTTGATAATCATGAAATGTGTAAATAAAAAAAAAAAAAAAATTTGTAAACAATAACAAGAGTCTATAAGTGATAGACCCAAAAGCTGCTGCTGCCGGTATAATAGTTACAAAAAAAAAAAAATTGCACAATAAAAATGCAAAATGAAGCTTGCGTGTGAAAAAATGCTAATTTCTTAGATTCTCATCCATTTTATACCGATTCTTTTCAAACTATAATGCTGAAATTTAGTGTTTTTTGGTCTGGTTCCAGACAAAACCTTCCAACTGAAAATAATATCTCTCTCATTTACTCCCATTGTAAACTTGCTTTCAGAAGATCCCAAATTCCAGACAAAACACAAATTTAAAAATTCTAATCTTGACTTTTTATTTCAGTATGATGATGAGAATCTAAAGTTTTCATTCAAAAATTTTTGAATTGTGTTGACAGGATGTATGAGATATATGAAATATGACGTCAATGACCCAAAGTGAGGTTGTGTTCCATATATAGCAGAAAGTTCGTGAGATGATGCCAGCTACGTTTTCCTAAGGACTCTTTGATACGATGTGTGCTCGCTATAAAGAAAAAGTGTTGTCAAAGTTTCAGGAGGTAAATAACAAAATATATATAATTGCAAAAAAATGAAAAACTTTTTGTAGAAGTTCTGATAATGTAACCCCTAATCTACAGAGAATATTATCAATCACATGAGGTAATGACAGATTTCAAAACTCATGGTACAACTTCTTGGGAAAAAGCCCAAAAGAAATAATGTACATAACCATGGAAACAAAATCTGGAACAAAATTACGGCCCTGACAACACTTTTTCAAAAAACGTCAAAGCACAACAGAGGGATGAGGTAACGCTGGTTGAAAACCGGAAAAAAATGAATGCTGGGTAATATGTATTACCCTGAATATATATATATATATATAAAGCAAATATCTATGAGACTGAACATGAACATGAATATAGACATATATAGATATATTTATGGCATATATATATATTTATACTATATATACATACACATAATTTTCTTATAAACAAACATTTCGATTTGTATCGTAAATGTGTTAAAACATCTTTTTATGTAATATCAACAATGATGTAAAATTATTTATTTTTTACACCTTATCGTTTCTACCCGTCCTCGATGCTGTAGTTAGCGTGCATTGAATAAAGCAAAAGGATGAGTCCTCTTCTCAAACAACTTTGCTCTCAGAATCATCAATTCTTGTCTATACTGCTCCTTAGTCACCGTAAATGCTCCGAGATGTGTAGGGAGAAGTAGACCCGGTCGTGGCAGTCCTCGTCACATACAGGACAAACAAACGGCATCGTTCGCCCTCCAGAGTGAATCTTTGTGTGGATACGGTACATGGCATACTCGGAGAAGTAGCATTCACAATGATCACATTTGAATAGGCGCCCAGATCCCATCAGTGTTGCTATGGAGTCGGTGGAGTTCTCGAGGCCTGCCGATGATGACTGGGCCTGGTACAAAGTGCCACTGTCACCTGAATGAATGCTTGCCTCACTTGGGCTTTGGGCATTGATGTAGGCCGGCTCTAGACCCATTTTACAACACATTTTCACCTGAATTCCGATTTCATTTCCATTTGTATTTGTCGGACCTGGAGCAGATATTGGCGTGGGTCTGGAAATGTCAGAGCCACTGAATGACCTGGATCTGGACCGTTCCATTGAGGTAGGGGAGATAGGTTCTACAAGATTGCGATGATGGAGGTCTGCAGTATGTTTGTCGCTGGTGGATTTGTGAGTAGAGAGGTTAAGTGCATCTGACTGTGGTGACTGACTAGCCGTAAACCCTGGTAAAGCCGATGGGGGCACTTCTGAGGTAGACTGGAGTGGGGAGAAGAAAGAGGGCAGAGAGGCTGCAACAGCAGCCTGGTGATTGTGGTAGCTCATGAGCAGGGCATTGGACATAGCAGCTGAGGTAGAAGTGTTGAAGAGATTGCTGTAGGTTCCATTAGCTGTGAGCAAGTCCTTGGAGGTTGTGAGGGTTGTTGGAGATGTGGTCAGGTGACTGGTTTCAGCCACTGTCTTGCGTGGGGTGTGCATCTGGCCAGTGGTCTGGGATGAACTACTGTTTCTCACAAACAGGTCCCACACGCTCTCTGCTGAAATTCCATGGCGTCGAGCATGGCGTCGTAGTGTGGAGCCTCGAGTGAACTTGGCACCACATACATTGCACTGATATGGTTTGATACCCGCATGTAGTTTGATATGTGACTTCATATTGTTTTTGTACCCGAATCGCTTACCACATATAGGGCATTCATATGGTTTGTGGCCTTCATGTGCCTTCATGTGATAGGCCATGTGACTCTTGGGATAGTCCCGCCCACATATAGTACACATTTCCTTTTCTTGCGACATCATATCTTGCGATGACATCAAATCTGTGGACATAAGATCCGATGATGACATCATTTCCTGTTCTACAACCGCCAGATTATCTGCAGGCGACTCCTGATCTGGTGACGTCATGTTGTCATTGGAATCAGACATAGATACTAGCTCAGAGTCATTGATATTATCCACTTCGTTTAGCTCGGAATCGTTGAGATTATTGTCGCTGTCGTTGTTGTTTGCGTTGTCAAGGGGTGCTGATAAGAAGAACTGTAGTGATAGCAACTCTTCCTTAGGTAGTTCATGTGATTGAAGGTGATCTACCATATCCTGATGAACTACTTCTGGCTTGCCGCAGTAGCGACAGAGCCACGGTCCATCTCTATGACGATTCACCATATGAAGTCGTAAACCCTCCTTCTCCCTGAACGTGCTACCACATATGACACAATTACAGTCATCAGTGATGTGCTCGCGTTCATGCGCTATGCGGAGTGCTGCCTTTGAGAAACGTTGGTTGCAGAAGCGACATGCGTAAGGTTTGAATTTTTTGTGTATCTGTTCATGAACATGCAGCTGCCAGGATGACTCAAAGTTTTTGCCACAAACCCCGCATATGGCCTCACCTTCGAAGTAACACTTTGATTTGTCATTTGAGGTCTTGTCATCATCACTGATTGTCCCAGTCAGATCGCCCAAGTTATTTGAGGTAGTTCCATCTAAGAGCAGGGTATCATTGTGCCCTGGTGAGGTAAAGTTTAAATCATTAGCTCGTGCTTCATCATCTTTCATACGTTCCTGAAAAGTCTCAGAATCAGGAATGTCCAAATCGGATCCATTTTCCACTTCATCTTTCACACCCTCCTCTTTTTCACCTTCTTCTTGTACCAGTGAGTTCATGTCACCTTTGGTCGAGCCTTGTGAAGGTGATTTGGAAAATGATAAACCACTGTGACCCTGATAAGGTGACAAGGAGAATCCAGATATGTCCCCAAGCTTTGGAGGGTGTGGAGATGACCCACAGGAGTCTGGGGTCAGTCGTGTCATGCTTGTATCATGATCATGTGACCCATCAGCAGCCAATCGATGCCCTGACGTGTGTCTCGTTGCACCATTGACATCCTGGTTCTCCTGTTTGACTATAACACTTGTGTGGTATCCGAGTCCATTTTGTTCCCGCTTCATCACCATGGAAGGATGTGAAGCTAGATGTGAGGTAGGTAATTGGGGGGCAGACGGGTGACTTACACCTGCCATTGAGGTAGCTGATGGCTTATCTACTCCATGTCCACTGTGCCCTGAGGAAACACCTGTTCCCGGGCCACTTGGTCTTTTTCCGTTGTCAGGCATAATTCCGCACACAGCTGCGCGTAACAAGGGACAACGTTTTTCATGGTAACGTCGCGTCGTTGATCGTGTGAAAACTTTCCCACAGTAACAGCACGTTCTAGACTTGCGAGGGTAGCCGTTTGATGTGAATTGATAGAGGTCACCTGGATACCCGTAATTCGGCATGCTAACGCCACTAAGCCCATATGGGAAGGTGTCGTTTGAACTATTAAAAGGGGGGCTACCACCCGATCTGGCTCCCCCTTCACCCTGAGTTTGGTAGTTCAATGACATCTTCCTTCTTCCTTGCGAATATCCCTGAGTATGCAGTGTAGAGCCATCAGGTTTCACAGATAAATCCATATTTAATCAAATGTCATTGAGACAATATCCCTGATAAATGTACAAATGCCTTCACTATGTTTTAACGTCATCTGGTCCCGTCTTACATTCTTTGGAATTCTGCAAAATACAAAAATAGAACGTGGTAAGTGATACAGTCAAGGACAAAAAATGTGTGTAAAAAGAGATGATACAGTGTAATGAATAACAAATTATACAAAAGTTCTTAACTTGTGATGATACGTTTATCAGTTTTATTAATAATTTAATGAGTACACTAATCAAAATGTATTTTTTCAATAAACTCAAAAAAAAAATGATAGAATCAGAAATCAGAAATAATTAGAGTCAAACAATTTTTTGTCTTCAATAAAAAAAATGTATTTATACTAAAGAATTATACACATTCTTCCACTTCATAACTGATGACATTTTTGTTCAGTGAATACACAATCCCAACCAATCCATACAGTCTTATCAAAACTCAATCTGGAAATAAAATTTCTTTAAAACCCCTGAATCACTTTAAACCAGGGATTGCCTCCCTTTGATTAGAAATCGCTCCCAAATTGATTTCAATCTAATGCATTTAAATCAAGAGTGCATTTGACCTAGATTGCAGCCCAGAAACATCTATTTTAAGTTAATTACAACAGGCCTAATTACGATGGCTCCATTCTGCAAGGCCTTTGACGTCTAAGGCACACAGCATGGTTAGTATAATGAATTAGATTGAAACCAGCAGCTAAGAGAAGAAAATTGCCGAGAATCATCTGTTCAAGTCATTACTGAACCTAGAACTGCTTAGAAATATATTCTTGTCTACTAATGGAGCAAGGACAACTTACTGTCCTTGGAAGAATTTTTCAAAAGTTTTCAAAATTCAATCACACAATATTGCACGAATCACATTAATATTTCCAACATGATCCATGATAGTTTATCGGCTTAAAAGAAACAGTGAAACATAAAACAAGAAAAACTGTGGATGTTTTAAAAATGCCTATTTTCAATATCTATTATAGGAAATGATATTAAGTTGGCACCATCAAATCTTACTGCATTATCACTTCTTGGTAAATCAGCACTATGATAAATTTGTGCGTTCAACAAAATACTTGTTACTTTATGAATCAGTATCATGAAACTGCTTTAGACTTCCGGTATGAAAAGTAAAAATAACTTCACTGCTCACAGTTGTCCACAGTAATGAAGTTCTTCTTTAAAGAAGAAGATGAAAAGACTTCCATTTATTTATAGCCAGGATTTTATAAACACAGGCAACTTTAGAATATTCTAGATAATTTCAATAATGATTTTAATATTTTATGTAACTGCATTTTGATGTATAATTTGAATATTTGAAGTAAAATGTTAAAGGGTTATCAAATGAAGCTGTAAAAGATCCTAGAAAATGTCTGTAAGACATAAAAACGACTCATAACACGATATTCATAATAATTAAGGATGTCAACAAAGAAATGAAAATGAATTCTGTAGTTAACCAATCTTGGAGAGACTGACAATGGCTAGGTGTGATCATGAGGAAACATAGTACATGATAAGAAATCAATAACACAGTTCCAAGTCTTTAATTAACGAAAGACATGTGTGATTAAGACCATCCAACACAGACAACGCACTTAAATTTAAGTAAATTAAACTCTGGTCTTGTCCTTCATGAAAGGAAAAAACCAATTTACTCATGAATTTATACTCTTTTTTTGTCAATCCTGAAAGGGACAAACCAATTAACTTGTGATTTGGAAGTTTAAATTAACCAATTCCTTTTACAAAATATGTTTCTGTTTTTGTATCAAGGTCAAAGCTATACACTAACAGTGAAATTTCCTTTTTGCATATATCTAATCCTTTTATAATCAGAAGAAATTGATAAACATTTCAATAAGACCTGATGGTCAAAGACAAAAACATCTGAACTGACCATTGAGAGAAATATGGACTCCTAGTCCAGGACACTAGCATCAGAATTGACCATAAAGAATTTATAATCAGAAGAAATTGATAAACATTTCAATAAGACCTGATGGTCAAAGACAAAAACATCTGAACTGACCATTGAGAGAAATATGGACTCCTAGTCCAGGACACTAGCATCAGAATTGACCATAAAGAATTTATAATCAGAAGAAATTGATAAACATTTCAATGAGACCTGATGGTCAAAGACAAAAACATCTGAACTGACCATTGAGAGAAATATGGACTCCTAGTCCAGGACACTAGCATCAGAATTGACCATAAAGAATTTATAATCAGAAGAAATTGATAAACATTTCAATGAGACCTGATGGTCAAAGACAAAAACATCTGAACTGACCATTGAGAGAAATATGGACTCCTAGTCCAGGACACTAGCATCAGAATTGACCATAAAGAATGAAATAATGTATTTGTCATTGATGATCAAACCACAAAATCATACCCTTGAGTGCAACTGTACTCAGAGCAAAGGATACGAGATAGTGCAAGATCTTTGTACTTTAAAATTCAATATCATCAGCACATAATAATAATTCAGTGCAAATCTGCATCAAACAGATGTTTTGGTATTAATCATATTCACTTGAAAGCTCTATCATGGAAATCAAAGTCTCTGAACATGCTTTTTAGTTCCAGCTTGAACACAGATCCTGGTTGAAGTATCTACTCAATGACCTCATTAGGTGCCACGGATGCATCCTATCAGTAACACTACATGCATGAAGTTTCTGCCAGCAGATGTAAGAGTGCAAACACAAGCACCTAAGAAATTGCCACTCAGAAGCCTTAAAATGGACCAACCCAGCAGCACCAAGTATCACTTTAATTTTGTTTTATAATTAAATTTTTTTTTTTAACTTGGAGCAGTTGTTTTTTCTTTCTTTATCATTATTTCTATACTGCAATATCACTATATAGTTTTTTTGTTTGACAACTCTGTCACTTGTACAGTTTCCAGCTTTTGTGAATATTCTATCTCATTTCTCAAAATGTCAAAAACAAAAAGAAAAATTTTAAGTAGAAAAATTATCACTTTTTCTTAGTGCAATTTTGAGAAGCTCTTTTGGCAAGTAAATTTTATGAATCTTAAACATTTGTTAGGGAAGATCATTAAAATTATCTGTATGTAAAGTGCAGTCCTGAGGTCAGGTTTAGTACTTCGATATAAATCAAACGTACACATGTATATATGCTAATAATGGTATGAACAGGTACTAAAACATCCACCTGAGGCACAGGTGGTGGTCTGTGTTGTACCTAAGAGGTAAAACTTGTGGTGTACAGACTGGCATCCATGTACAAATCTATCAGAGGTGTGAATTAATTAAGGGACACTGACTTATACAGGTGAAAGGAACTGGTCTTGAAGTATTTTAAACAGTATCAATACATTTTTCGATTTACCGTATTTATTTGCAAACAAGCCCAGTTGTCCAACACATATTATCCACGACTAAGGTTAAGGGTGGGCTTATTACAAGGCACTTAAATAGCAATTGGTGGTAGGCTTATTGACTGACATGGGCTTATATTTGGTTAAACAAGCTTATAACAAACAGTGTGTTAAATACCCTGAATTACTTTTTATGAATGTTATCAAATTTTAACTTATTGATGTCAAATATTCTTTAATTAAGTGAAGTTTAATTCAATATTAGGGTAACTGACTTATAAACTAATTTCAAAAGTTTGAAAAATCTGAGATAATATAAAACTGGGAATACAGGTTGTTTCCCCTTTATAATGGATACGATATAAAAATTTTAAAGAAGACTCAAAATGTTTTCACCAAAGTACCACCACCAGAATCATGAGATATATAAAGCACATTTTGTCATAAACTTATGTATGAAACAGCCACAAAACAGCATAAACCCTACAAACCTACAGCATTTATGGAAGACTAAGTGACAATTTGACAGGAAATGTCCAGACTCCTGTGACCGGCAGTGGTGGTCAGGACTAGACAATACACATCTATATGTGGAGGTCCACTCACAAATGACAGGTTAATATGGCATTTCCCTAAACACCAGTGTCTCTCTTACACTACCCTCCAATGATACCTCTCGTACATTTGGGTATAAACCATGGATATTTGAATCCAACAGCATCAATATCACAGCATCCAATTAAACACATCAGAAATAAAAATAATTTATAAAATAAAACGAAATAAAAGAAAAACAATAAAAATTTCATCGCATGCAATTAATAAAACATGGGAAAAATTTTTAAAAAATCTATGAAATAAACAAATAGCTGATATTTCAGAAAATATATGATTACAACCATATATTTCACCAACATATTTTTGAAAATAGAGAAAAAATAGGAATACACATATACATGTAAAAATAAACAAAAAAAACTGTAGATGGAAATGACCAAACATGATATACACCAACATATATGACAGAAGGGACATAACTCCAACCAAACTTGACCAATCCCCAAAAAAATAAACTCAGGTGTAAAACTATATCAGTAAACTTTCACAAAATTTGGATAAATCTTGTAGGGCGTGACCTGATAGCAAAAAAGGTTCTGAAAGTTTTGATGAAAACTTTTTAGAGTTCTGTGGATCAGACCCTGTCAAGACAGACTGACAAAGGATTCAAGTGTGCCACCCGCTACCTTCCCTACTTAATTGTAAGGGTAACAGATTTATCAAAAACCAAACCTACCTTTACGCACCCCACTGTTATAAGTATGTGACAAATACTCCACAAGGAAATGAAAGTATAACTCTGGACATTGCATTAAGACATATGCAAAGTTGAAGTAGGTGGCAACCAAAGTCAGCGAGCTTTAAGCTATTACTTCTTCAAATCAAATATGAATGAAAATTATGAAAAGCTACAAGCTTATCAAATTTTAACAGGTATAAGTGATAATGTAATACTGTGCATGGCTATATCTTTGAGCACACCTTTTTCTGTATAAGCTGAAAAAAATGTGTGAACCTAATGTGTGAAAAGCAGAATTCCTCAATAAGCTGTGTGATAACAAGGGGA